CTCTTAATAATCCCAATAAACTCAATGTGTTTAGTTTAAACCTAAGGAAAGATGAGATCATCATCCAACCATACCTAAAACCTTTAAAAATTTGAGTAGGGAGAAGGAGGATGAGTTAGGAAGCTTACTTGAACGTTTTTTAAGCTTAAAGTACCTCCAACATGGCCAAATGACCAAGCCCTAGTAGCCAAAATCTTCCTCTTCATCACCTCTCCCTATTGTTTTCCCCCTCTATTTCAGACGCATGCAAGCTTTCGATTTAACTAGAATTTTGCACATCCATCGCAATGCAAAGTGCCTTCACTTTGGTTGATGGCATAATAGGAGTAAATGAAAATTTAGGCCTCATTCTAAAGCTTGTTGGCTCAAAACTCATCCTAGGTTTTGGCAAGTTCATTACTAATATAAAAAATCAATAAACTCAATTTATAGTTATTCTACTAATTTACCCCCTTTAAGTTCTAAAATTCAAAATTGAAAATTTGGGGATGTTACATACTTGAGCTCTTGGGATTTTTCTCCTTATTTAGATATGATTATCTAAAGTTTTCTAGTTGCCAGCTTTCAACAATTAAAGAAAGGAGGACGAAGATGGAAGATCAAAGATTTAATGAAGAAGATGAAGATGGAAGAAGACTGAGCATGAGGTTGTGAGTGTTGAGTGTTGCCATTTTTCGACCAGAGAGAAGATGGTCATCATTGTTGTTGCTAAAGAAGGAAGGAGGAGAAGATGGATCATGGATGAGAAGGTGAGAGGTAGAGGTGTAATTGCATGGAATCAAGAGAAGGGTTTGGTCTAGAGTTATGCAGGTGCGAGAGCAAAAGCAAGCAAGTCAATTTACTTAATTCAATCTTTTATTAAAAAAATATAATTAGTGCAAGTATTTGGATAATGCTTGCTTATTGGGACTATATCCTGTATAAGCCCAAAGTAAGGGTTTCTTTAACGGAGAATTACATACAAGTCCCACACAACATATTTAAATACCACAAGATCTATTGGCAATTAAGCAAAGAAAAATGACCAATGACCATTTGTCATTTTTCTTTGTTTAGTTGTCAAAAGACCTTATAGTATTTAATTGTACTGTGTAGGACTTCAAAGTAATTCTTCTTTTTTTTAAATACCAAGTTTGACTCTAAAATTTTTGAGTTTACTTGGGTTAGCCTGTTAGGTTTAGCCCAAATTATGTCTACTAAATCTAAAAACACTCTTAATCCATAGTTAAAGTTCCCAAAGTACTTAAATGTAGTTAAGACAGGTGTGAATCATTTTCAATGTCATAATAGAGATTCACTCTAGAGATGGATTTTGAAGAGACAAGGCTTTCCTGCAAGTGAAATGTACTTAAAAGGACAAATTAAAAGTACCATCTCTTCTTTTAATCGGCATTAAAGTCTTGTTTCCTAAGGTACAGGCTTTTACAAACCCACTCAAAAAGATATCATACGGCATTTAACCTAAGCTTGGAAATGACTGGACCTGGCCCTTATATTTAAGTTCAAACTTCAAACAAAATCAAATATTCTTTAATTCTATCAAGTATCTAATGATCACATTTAGTTGGCTCAATACTTACCAAAATTTTCCTTCAATTTCGATTCCATTGTTTGGGAAAACTTGAGAGTATTACCTTCTTTTATCTAAACTAATCCGAACTTCCATTATATAAGATCATTATTACCAATAACGACGGCCTCACATGATCAAGGTTGTAAATATTTTCTTCAAACAACGCTTCAATTTGTTAGCCATATTAGAAATCACATAATCAAGGGGGTAAAAACTAGTATAAGAACGCCTAGTGGTCAAACAAAGGATTTTTCTATAAAGATTGGACTACATCAGGGATCATCTCTGAGTCTTTATCTGTTCAACTTGATCTTAAATGTTTTAACCAAATATATTCAAGGGGAAATTCTTAAATGTATGCTCTTCGCAGATGATATAGTTCTTATAGCAGAGACAAGAGAAGAGGTTAATTGCAAACTTGAGTTATGGAGGAGGACATTGAAGTCGAAAGGTTTCCGTCTGAGTAGGAGTAAGACGGAATATTTATATTGTAAATTTGGTAAGAGACTATTCGACAATAATTTGGAAGTGAAATTGGGAGATCAAATTATACTTCAAGTGGAAAAGTTTAGATATTTAGGAGTCATTATTCAAAATAATGGCGAAATCAGTGGAGATATTTCACATAGGATTTAAGCTGGGTGGTTTAATTGGAGAAAAGCTAAAGGAGTTATTTGCGACCGTAAGGTGCCTAATAAACTTAAAGGAAAGTTTTATCGCACCGCTATCAGACCGATAATGTTATATAATAGTGAATGCTGGGCTTTAATGAGATAAAGTTGGAGTAGCAGAGATGAAAATGTTACGATGGATGTGCGGACATACATGTAAAGATAAAATTTGAAATGAGCACGTACGCGAAAAAGTGAGGGTAGCACCTATTGAGGAAAAAATGATAGAAAATCGGTTGAGATGGTTTGGGCATGTACAAAGAAGACCAAGGGAGGCACCAGTGAGAAGAGTGAAACATATAACTTTGAGTCCGATTAAGAGGGGTAGAGAAAGGCCTAAGAGAACACTCTTGGAAGTTGTTGAACACGATCTCTTAATTAATAATATTCCTAAAAACTTGATAAATGATCGAGCACAATGGGGTCTTGCAATCCATGTAGCCGACCCCACCTAGTAGGATAAAGGCTTGTTGTTGTTGTTGTATTAAAAATCACATAATCAAGGTTGCAAATATTTTCTTGCAACAACTCCTCAATTTTTTATATTTTCCCGGAATACATGTTTGAAGTTAGAAACAGAGGGACTCTGCTATGTTTTGCATTTCACAATTTGATTAAAATAACAAATACATGCTTAAATGGATAAGCCGAACTCAAGCTTGATTTTTTGAAACTCATACACGCCAAGACCAAAAGCTCCTTTTTACTAAAATTCCAAATTTCCAAATATGAGTCCAAAAAATATGCTTAAGCGGGTGGTCCAACTTGTATTTCCAGAGCTACCAAATTCATTACTGGGAGGCACTAAGCTTACTTGTGCACATATAATCCAAGGCAATGAACAACTCTCACTAGCCATGTGCATAACTTTGATTTAAATTTTTAGAATTCTTAAATGTTCAACTAAGCTCTGTATTCTGATCTCCTTTAATAGTTTTTGTTGAAACCATTGAGTTGTTGACTCAATGTTGCTTCCTCTTAACCATGAAACAATTTATTCAATTCGTAGAAGGTTTTACTAATTTAATTGAAGATTTCGAGTTCAAGTCATCAAAATATAGTTATGTTAAATGTTTGTGGGAATACCTTTACGTGGCCTGCCACGCTGATTTTTCCAATATTAATAGCAGTTTTTTTACAACATAGTCAAATTTAATTCGCATAGCCAGCCTGTTTTGACCAATTTTTGATTTTTCTTACAAGAATGTCATCACTTCTATATGTATGTATATATGTATAATCATGGGATACGGGCATGGAGCATTTGGGGAGAATGCATTGGTTGTTTTCTTAATTTCTTGATTTAGTAATATTTAGCACATTAAGTAAATTTTGACCCAGTAATGCATGATCTTTTTAATGCTTAAGTACCATATGCATAATTTTATGGTCTAGTCAAAAGATCCCCATATTAAGTATATTTTGATCCAGTTAGCTAACATGAATATTTTTTTTTAATGCTTAGCAGCTATATGAATAATTTTAAGATTTAGTCAAAAGATTCATATAATACCTGTTTTTAAAATAATGTTTTAAATTTTAATTCAATGTCCAACGGATATTTTTTTTATGGTACGTTGTAACTTTAATTTCAGGCGTTGAGCATATATGATCTATTCAATTAGCTTACTTATTTTTCTATTACATGATGTCTTAGCTTGTTTTCTTATTAGTCAAGTTGTTTTTATTTATAATACCAAAAGTATTTTGAACACATATTAAATCTAGATCTAGATGGCTCAAGCATGACTAAATTGTTTAGTCATATTGATGACCAGTGTGATATTTTTTTTATTTGGTCAAACTAGAGGCTTTCATGACTAAATTGCATTATTTAGTCATATTAGATGGACTTTGTAATTTGTTGTATAATATACACTCTGGTCAAATATAAGATCAAATTTAATAAAACTAGTAGTACATTTCGTTCATGGAATTAACTATGAATTTAATAATAAAGTGCACAAACATTATTGATAGAATTAAATTGGGTTCGTTTGACTTACTTGGGTTTTTCTTTTACTGCATATATTTATATAGCATTTAGACTTAGGATGAATGAATCAATATGGAGTTAATGGATTAAAAAACAAATGTTTTTGGTCAGTTATTTGTGACTTCTTACTTACGCACCAACGAAAATCTTCAATGATGCAGAAGGGTCTGCTGTCATTTTCATATTAATCTGACCCGGGAATCTAGGATTAATGTATACGATCAACATGTAACGGCTCATAATATTAATTTACTCCATCCATTAAAAAATGTAAAGTATTTTTAATTGAATCTCACTTTTCAATAAAATAGTTAATTGTTCTCAAACTAATATCATTTTTTTATATTTACTCTTATTTAATAAGATGTTTTATGTTCAAGTAAATATAAAATAATTTACTTATTATAGGTTCTTTTAGAAAAAAAAGTTAATTACACCTCGAAATACTTAAAATGCTTTACATTTTTAAGCATTTAATTTTTCAAAAAATACCTTATATTTTTAAACTGAGGAAGTAATAAGCACTATCATTGGCTTGATGTCTTTATAATTGAAAATGCTAGCTTGCTTGTTTCTCTTTTAACAGAGTTGAACGTAGAATATAGGAATAATTAATTAGAGATATATATATATATATATATATATTCATTTTGTCAATGTATGTGAGAATAGATTTTTAAAAAAAATAATCAATTATTTCGTTTGAACAGATCTAGCTATTGGCGCGCCTTGGCTTTATATATATTAGATAGTAAAAGGAAGAAGAAAGCATCAACAAGCTTGGGGCTTGAGAGAAGAGCTTCTCGCTAATGCTTCTATTTTCCTCCATGACTCTTTCACGCCCCTCCTTCCATGCTTCTCTCACTCCAGGTTCTCCCTCTCTCTCTCTACACACACATCTATGATTGAGTATTATCATCTTGTTTTACAAATTCACTTTTCTTCTCTTACCACTGTATGAATTAAAACTCAACTCGCGATTGAGTTGGCTAACAAGACTAGTGAACTAATTCTTTGATTGATTCATTCAATATAAGTTTTTTACATGTCAATTAGGTTAGGTTTTATTTTTTTCCCCTATAATTGAGCTTGAAACATCATTTTTAGATATGTCAAATATATGTGCTTTAGTAGTTCTGTTTTGTTAAATGATGTGTCATGAATGTTCCATTTAATGGTGATTAATACATTTTTATTTAAATATCATTCTTTTCAAGATTGTGCATGAATATTTTTGTATATTTTACTTTATATATATTATTTTAATCATAAAGGACTGCTCACCACTACCTCACCCTCATCTCCACTTCCCCCTTTTTAAAGTGAGATTTAGGGCCTATTTAGTTTCTATTTTAATTTTTTTAAAATAAAAACGTGCTTTTGAAAACAAAAAATCAAATAGGCTCTTAGATTTTACCATAGTTGCCTGTTACTCTATTCATTATTTTTTGCCTCTTTCCTTCCAAACCATCTATGATTGAGTATTATCATCTTGTTTTACAAATTCACTTTTCTTCTCTTACCACTATATGAATTAAAACTCAACTACTAAGATAAGTGAACCAGTAAACTAGTTCTGACTGGTTCATTCAAAATATGTTTTTTACAAGTCGATCAGGTTGGATTTTATTTTTTCCCTATTATTTTGAGATATGTCAGATTTATGTGCTTTAGTAATTCTGTTTTGTTAAATTATGTGTGGTATATACATGAATGTTCCATTTAATTGTGATTAATACATTTTTATTTAAATATTAATCTTTTCAAGATTGTGTATGAATATTTTTGTATTTCTTACTTTATATATATTATTTTAATCATAATGGGCTAGTCACTACTACCTCACCCTCATCTCCACTTTCCCCTTCTAAAAGGGAGATTTAGAGCCAATTTAGTTTCTATTCTCATTTTTTGTTTTTAAAACTATTTTTTAAAACAAAACAAGAGAAAAATCTGTTCAATTATGTTAATTTAAAAATAATTTTAGAATTAAAAAATTGATCGATAGTGATGGTCACTAGCAATTAATAGTGACGACTTATGATAATGATTGGTTAAAGTAACTGTATATTTTAATAATAAAATATAATGTATTTTGGTAACAAAAAATAAAATAAAATGAAAGCAACTTAAGATATTTCTGTTTTTTTTTAAATAAAAAATGAGAACAGTTTTAAAATAATTAGATTCAAAAACACTCTTCTAAACAAGTTTTTTAATTTTTTTTTGTTTTTAAAATAAAAAGTGTTTTTGAAAACAAAAATCAAATAGGCTCTTAGATTTTGGTATACTCGTCTGGTACTCTATTTATTATTTTTTGCCTCTTTCCTTTCAAAACCAAATTAAAATAAACTCACAAACCTCTAAAATCACATAATATTTAAATCTAGTATTAACTTCTAACAAACTCTGAGGGGAAAAAATACTGATCTGAATGTTAGTACTTGATGTGAAAAATCGATCTACTTCATCGATCAAACCGAGTATTCTTACTGATCAGTTTGTGTAGATGAAAGTTATTTTTCAGATAAAGTAGCAATATTCAGATCAGTATTTCTTTTCCAGAGAGTTGGATATGGTATCTGTTTAATTATTGGAGCTAACCAAGAGGAAGATCCGATTCTTTTCCAGTAAATAACTTTCATAGATAAAAGCCAATGATTAAAGGATTTAAATTTTCTGATATTGAAATTGTGAATTTATATAAACAAGTGAAAATAATAAAGAAAAGAAAACTTAATGTAAATTAACCAAGATCTACTTAGAGGATTTAAACGCATGATTATATATGTTTTGTAGCATAAGCGATGATACTTAAATGACTGAAGAAATTCTTGCATAAACCCAGAGCATCACGTCAATAATACTCTATCCAATAAAGACATATCTTAAACAACTTTCTCGAACACACCCTAGTACTATCGTGCGAAGTTCAACATCCTTGCATTTGTTATGTAACCCATCTTATTTAGTTAATATGTTGTTGATTAAACTTAGATAATATTATTTTATCAGACAATTAATTAAAATTTTAATTTCATTTCAGTAATTAATGAGTATGACAATAGTCACTATTGTCAAATTGATTTGAACTAATTAGTGAAAATTTTAATGAGAAAACTTATATATTTAGCCTTATATATTAAGGTCCTTTTTTCAAATTAATCAAGACATATAAATCTTTTATATATTGTTTATATTTTTGTTATTGATATTATCAACACATTAAGATCCACTTATTTTGATTTGAATGGATAAAAGTATATTAAGTTTATATAAGACTAAGCATCTAAGTCTTGCCCTTAATTTTCATGTTAACATGCATCATCAAAATATCCATCTTTGTGATCATTAAAAAAAAAAAAGAGAATTACTCGTACAATTAATTTCCTCACAAAAATGTACACTTATTTCAAATTTGCCCTTATCTTTGACTAGAGTATATATGCTTTTGGTTGCAATTTCAAATTTAATTTGCATATTATACACATACAGTATGAATTCGTTTACACTAAGATATGATACACCTAGTATGCATATATTTTAATGTAGTACTTGATGATAGCATATTTCATCCATGTAAGCTACCTAATTAGTCATAAATAAACGATCTAATTAAATATATGAATTATATTTCACATCCTCATTACAATTTTGACTTTGAATAAATAAATTTTGTGGTGAAGTTAGGTTGCATGTACGACAAATTCAACGGACTCCTCATGCGACTTGAAATGACAATTTTTTTAAAAAAAATCATGCAAAAATATACGCAGGTGTGAAGTGTCGGTCAAATTAGATGAAGCTCGTGCATGACAAATAAAGTCTTTTGAAATCTTTTGACAAAAAAAAAAGATAGTGTGGAAATCTTTTATATATATATATATATATATAATATTATGGATATAAATACTTTTTTCCCACTTTTCATAACGTACTGACGTTAATTTTAATCGCATGCATATGCTTCATGTGTTTAAGAAAGTCTGACAGTATATGTTGATATATTTCTTGGTCAGCAACTTCGGTTGGAACGCCAAATGTAGAGAACAAAGTTCACATAAGTAAACCTAATATTGTAAGTATCTTCTATGAACTTCTCTTTCAGATCAATTCAAGTTTATACAAGAGCAATTAAGAATGAAATGACAATTTTCTTAATTTCTTTGTTTTTCTTCTACAAAATACAGATGTTTGAGGGGAATAAAGAGAGAATAAAAAAAATATTAATAAAGTTGAACTGTCTGTATCAAGTTATGATACAGCTTGGGTGGCAATGATCCCATCACCTTCTTCTTCACAAGCTCCTTTGTTCCCTCAAACCCTAAATTGGTTATTAGAGAATCAACAAAAGGATGGATCATGGGGTCTTTCCAATCGTGATGAGTTGTTGACCAAAGACTCTCTCCTATCTACCTTGACTTGTGTCCTTGCTCTTAAGCAATGGGGTGTTGGTAAACAGCAAACTAATAGAGGTAATGATTCAATCAAATTTAACAAAAAATAATGATTGTTTTTTGTCTAATTCATTCCTTAGAGTGTCTTAGCTTTAAATCCATTAATTATATGTTGTTAAATAACGAGATATATATGTCATCTCTTGTGCTGTTAAAGGACTTGCATATATTGAGTCAAACATTGCTTCATCTTTTGATAACAAGCAACATTCCCCAATTGGATTCGACATCGTCTTCTCTCATTTACTCGAGAAAGCCCAAAAGTTGGATCTGAATCTTCCTCTTGGAGGGAAAAGTCTGGAGTCATTCATCCAAAAGAGAGAAATGGAGCTCCAAAGGTATATATATACTCCTTTCAATATATGAGATAGATAATTAAATCACACAGATTTTAAGAAAAATAGTACTTAAGTTAGTTGTTGTAAAAATAAATGTATTGATTTCCTTAGAATATTTCCCCTTTCAATCATTTATATTGGAAACTATCCTTGTTGATTACACATGCGCAACCAATATTAGTTTAAGTAGCCAGTTTAAGAGAAAATCACAAATATGGTAGACGAAATAGATTGAAGTCTTACATTTAAGACTAAAGTAAACTCTTTAATTAGCTCTTACATTTAGAATTTGGAGGAAGTAAGAAACTTTCATTGAATATATACCAAGTTATTGATTAACATGCTTCTTCTCAACAATATACAGAGGCTGGACTAGAAGCAATTTAGAAGGCTGGAAAGCATATTTAGCATTTATTTCAGAAGGATTTGGAAATTCTCAAGATTGGGAAATGGCTATGAAACATCAAAGAAAGAATGGATCCTTATTTAACTCACCTGCCACTACTGCATGTGCTTTCACACACCTAAACAATACACAGTGTTTTGATTATCTCCGTTCGTTGTTAGATAAATTTGGAAATTCTGGTCAGTGGCTTTTCAAACTTCTTGTGATTTGTTTTTTCTCGTCTTAATTTCAACTGTGTACTAATTCAATTGTATATATACACACAAATGTTGAAATTTTCAGTTCCAACGTGGCATCCTTTTGACGCCTTTGCTCGAATCTATATGGTTGACAGCCTTGAAAAATTGGGCATTGATCGTTTTTTCGAAGAGGAAATCGATAGTGTGTTAAACCAAACATACAGGTAATTGACAAGTGTCCACACACACACACACACAAATTCCAAGGCTCAATAGTAATCTATGTTTCTATTTTGTTTATTGTTGCAAGCAGATTGTGGCGGCAGGATGAGGATGATATATTTTTGGAACCAACCACATGTGCCATTGCATTTCGTTTACTACGGTTACATGAATATGATGTTTCTTCAGGTTTTGTCGCGCACTAATTGATTTCTGTGAGGAGGAAATTAAAGAGACCAAAGAAGCAACTAAATTTGACATTTATATATTTCTATACGTTTCAGATGCACTGAGTCGCTTTTCGAAAGACAAATTCTGCAATAGCCTTGAGGGATATTTGAAGGATGTTAATGCTGTTATGGAGTTACACAAGGCTTCACAAATACCTCTACTTTCACATGATCCAGTTTTGGAAGAATTAAATTCCTGGACAGGAGATTTCCTTAGGGAATATTTGTCTTGTTCCTCAGAACAAGATCACAAGCCTCTTCATAATATTGACCATGAGGTACGTAGTTAACCATTAGCTACAATCTCACGACAGTTTAGTTCTTGACATCTCCGTAATTAAATGATGTTTTATTATGTCAGGTTCGTTTTGCTTTGCGATTTCCTCATCACACTTATTTGGATCGTATGTTTAACCGAAAAATAATGGAGAATTATAAGGCTGACCAAAAGAGAATTCTGAAAACATCATACAGGTACAATACTTTTTCTTATTATTTTTCTTCTTGCACGAACCCTACCCTTTATCATCCATCCTTCTCATATTTTTGTGGATATTCTTCTTGCAGTTCCGTGAATCTCGCAAACAGAGAATTTATTGACCTAGCAGTGGAAGACTTCAACAGCTGTCAGCTGGTAATTCGTGAAGAATTCGAAGAATATAACAGGTGACTCTATTAATTCGAAGATCTGATTGTGAAATTAATATCTCTTGAGGTTAATTGCTTCTATAACTCAAACAAAGCTCAAATGGACGTATGCAAAACTACAAGATGGCTAAGCTGATCTTAGTTGACACCCCATACATATGTAGAGTGTTTTATTTTGTGAGTGGTTATTCATATACAATTAATCGCCATGAATCCCACACATTTTTGGTCTACTATTATATCACACAAGCAGGTGGTTTATGGAGAGTGGAATGGACAAACTCCAGTTTCCCAGACCAAAAGTGGCATATTCGTACTTGACAGCCGCAGGAACACATGTGGAACCAGAGCTCCATGAGGCACGTATGTCATGGGCAAAGAATGGCTTGCTTGTATGTGTTTCTGATGACATGTACGATGTTTGGGGTTCTGAAGAAGACCAGATAAGGCTTGTCGAACTCATGGAGAAGTATATATATATATATATATGAACCCAAGTTTAATTTCCCTTGTGAATTTAAAATTCCCTCCAGCGTTATAAATTAAATTGATGCTGTATATGAACAACATTGAACCACAGGTGGGACGTAGACATCGAGAAGGAAATTGTTCGGAGCCAGTTAAAATATTATTCCTAGCACTGAAAGGAACAATTTGTGAGATAGCAGACCAAGCCCTTAAGATTCAAGGACGAAGCGTGCTGAAACACCTGATTCAGCTTGTGAGTCAAATATAAATATATACCATCCATAGAATGTGAATAAGTAGTGGTCAGAACAAGTAATAATTAAGTTGATTTGCAGTGGGTGGACTGTCTGCAATCTTTCCTGCAGGAAGCTCAGTGGAGGAGAAACAATTACGTGCCAAGCTATGAGGAATATGTGCCCGTGGCACTAATATCATTCGCCTTGGGACCAATTCTCCTCCCAGGTCTGTATCTGGTAGGACCTGAGCTTCCACAGGAAAGCATTGAAAGTTACGAATACAATCGCCTGTTTGACGTGGTTAGCATTTATGGACGATTGCTCAATGACATCAACGGCTACAAGGTCAGTTATATCTTACTAATTCGACTTGATTAATTATATATCCCGCTTTAGGATATTAATTAGGGTTTTGTGTGTGGTTATGCAGAGGGAAATGGAGCAAGGAAAACTGAACGCAATAGCAGTGAGAGGGAGGGAGGGATCAGGAAGTGAGGAAGAAGTGGTGAAGAAGGTGAAGGAAGAGATTGAAGAGAGCAGGAAAGAGCTGTTGAGAATGGTTTTGCAGAAAGAAGGAAGCATAATACCGAGCCAAGTGAAGGATGTGATATGGAAAATGGCCAGATCGTTGTACGTCATCTACAAGAAAGAAGATGTCATCCATTCACGTGACTTGTCGGACGAGGTCATCAGTATCAAAGATGCTGTTGTCAGCGATCCTATTGTTTTGAAATATGATTAATTAGATAAAAAACCAGACAAAGAAAATAAAATGCTCAAGACAACAAGATAGTGTAAGCTGGCCTCCTTTCACTTATATAAATAATGTAAGGTGGCCAATACAAGCATTACACATATACACAAAATATACAAGGGCATATTTGCATAGTATAGGGGCAAAGTCGATCTTATTCATATCCTAACTAATTACATAATTAATAAATAACTTCATTCTCTAACATTCTCCCTCAAACGAGAAGGGATAACAAGAAGTCCAAGTTTATTCTTGCAAACAGTGAATAGAGGAGGTGAAAGAGCTTTAGTGAAACAATCTGCTACTTGACTGTGTGAGGGTATATATCTAACAACAAGTGTGCCTGCAATGACTTGATCTCTAACAAAATGTAGATCTATTTCAATATGCTTTGTTCGAGCATGTTGAACAGGATTAGCGGCCAATGCATTAGTACTTAGATACTAGATTGTAGGAGGACATCAGGGAGCACAACCAAGTTCATATAATAATGAACACAACCAATTTACTTTAGCTATGATATCTGCTAGTGCCCTATTTTTTGACTTAGTGCTGGATCTTGACACAACACGTTGCTTTCTGGATGACCAAGTAACCAAAGTGTCACCCAAATACACACAAAAACTAGCCATTGATTTTCTATCATCTATATTTATAGCCCAATCAGCATCTGTAAAGGAATTAAGTTGCAATTGTTGAAAAGGTTTAATATGCAAACCAAGTCTATAAGTACCTTTGAGATATCTTAAGATCCATTTCACACCTTGAAAATGAACATAAATGCGTTGGGACATAAACTGACTCAACTTATTTATAAAAAAGGCAATATCCAGTTTGGTAGTTGTAAGATATTATAAAGCACCAATAGCTTGATGATAAACAGTGGCATCATTCAGAGGATTTCCACCAGAAATAGAAAATTGTCTACCAATAACCATGGGTGTGGATACTGGTGCAAAGTCAAGCATCCCAAAATGCCTTAACAAATCAAGAACATATTTGGCTTGACTTAGATAAATTCTAGAATTAGTTCGAACTACTTCTATTCCCAAAAAGTAATGAATGGAACCCATATCCTTAAGTGAAAAAAAAAGACTCTTTAATTTCTGAACAAAAGATTTCAAGTAATCAGAATTATTACTAGTCACCAGTATATCATCAACATATATTAAAATAAACACAATCAAATCTCTAGTTCTTAGCATAAATAGGGAGGTATCACTCCCAAAATTAAGAAAACCCCATTCTAACAAGGTTAATCATAATCTTTCATACCAGGCACGACGTGCTTGTTTTAATTCATAAATGGCTTTGGTGAGCTTGCAAACATGAGTCGATCTTCTTGAATTAACAAAACCATCATGCTATCGCATGAAAACTTCTTCCTTGAGAAAACAATTCAAGAACGCATTATTTACATCTAATTGACAAACCTCCCATTGAAAGGTTACATCAATTGCAAGAACAATGGGTGTTGTTGTTGTCTTCACCACAAGGCTAAAATTTCTTCATAATCAAACCCAAGAGTTTGTTGAAAGCCTTTTACAACTAACCTTGCTTTGTGCTTGAGAAGAGAGTTGTTAGCTTTAAACTTGGCTTTGAAAACCTATCGGCAATTGATTATTTTTTGCAAGGCAGATGGAGGAACTAAATGCCAGGTTGGACTTCATGTAAATTCCTCAAACTCTCCTGCCATCGCTAAAGCCTCATCCATTTAATTAGGTTTTGCCACTGTTTCAAGAGAAGTTGGATCTTTTGAGGTCAAAAGCCCAATAAAGGGATATTTGGGCTTGAATATTCCATGTTTGGCCCGAGTGACCATCTGATAGGTATTGGGAACATCATGCGTAGGGACATTAGTGGACTTTAGGGAAGGACTTGCAGATGTGGAAGAATGTGGTGATGCATCAGAAACAATTATTGGGTTTGCAAAAGTTGAAGATTGACACCTAAAGGCGATGGGACCACAGTCTCAGAAAGTACAGTAGAAGGTGGTTCCTCCATATTCTCTGACATTACAGACTATAATGGTTCCTCTAGATAGCCATTAAAAGGAAAAATATGGTTCTAAATTATAACAGGAACACCAGACTTGTACAAGGATTCATCATGACGATGATTTAAGAAACCTGTGGCAAATGGGAAAATAGAGGAATCAAATATAATGTGCCTTGAGACATATATGTGACCTGTAGAGCTCAAGCATTTAAAGCCTTTTTATTGATGAGTAGCCAAGGAAAACACACTTTTGACTGTGAAATTGAAATTTCTGATCATTATAAACGCTTTAAACATGGGTAACAAGCACATCTGAATGGCTACAGAGATTTATAATCAGGCTTTGTTTTATGAATCTTAAACAGGGGCTTTTTGTTGTGCAAAACATGAGTTGGCATTCAATTTATAAGAAACACAACGGTTTGAAAAGCCTCAACCCAATAAGTGAGAGGCATATGAGCTTGAGTTAATAATGTGAGACCTGTTTCCATAATGTGACGATGTTTCCTTTCAGCTCGGCCATTTTGTTAACAGGTATAAGGACAAGTATATCTCATATTAATGCCATGTTCATTAGCTATGGCAGTAAATAGTTTATACTCTATTCCCATATCACATTGAATGTTCTTGATTTTACAACCAAAATGATTCTTAACAAGTGCTTTAAAATGGTTGAATGCATTAACAGTTTCCCCTTTATGTTTGAGAGGATATGACCAAGTATATCTACTAAAATCATCCACAAAATGAATATAAAATCTGTGTTCATGAATGGATTACATTGGAGCTGGCCCCTATAAATCAGTGTAGATTAGTTCAAGAGGAAATGAAGCATGAGAGGCAGATTGTGTAAATGGAAGATGTTTGGACTTGCCCATCTGACAAGCTTCACAATCATTATTGTCATTAATTGCAATTTTTAAATTACAATTAGTAGAAATTTGTTTAAAAACTCTATCACAAGGATGTCTTAATTTTTGATGCCAACTAAGAAAATTAGAGTATGCCGAACAAGCATTAGCTTCAAGAACTGGAAAATTAGCATTTGCTTGAGATACTACAGCATAGTAAATCTCAGGTCGAAGGTGAGGCATTGGGTATATTCTTTGGCATGGTCTCCCATGCATTAGCACCTGGCCTATCATTTTGTCCTTCACAAGCCTCCAAAATTAGTGAATAAAACATCAACCTTATTACCCTCTATCAGTTTATGAACACTAAGCAAATTCTTAGTGGCTGAGGGAACAAAAAGAACATTAGTAAGATGAAGATTAGTGGATGCACAAGGAAGAGAAGATGAACCATTGGCGTGAATGGAAGTTTTCTCACCAGTACATGTAAAGAAATGAGTCTTACCCACAGATTGAGACATGTTCAAATGTTTAGCAGATGGTATAACATGGTAGTTATCACCACTATCCATGTACCAAGTTGAGTCGTTCACGGTATAAGGAAAGGCATAACAGGCTTGAGGAGATCTATGATCAAATGATAGAGACAAATTCCTGTCAAAGTAGCGGTAACACTGAGCTACCACATGACCAGGGCGCTAACATAGAAAACAGAACAGACCATGTAATAACCCAAGCTATAATTATAGATTTAGAATAAAAAATAAGATAAATTTACTGCATTTTTATTAATTGTTAGGAGAAAGATAATAAGAGGTGTTGTTAGTTTAATGAAACCCATCTTGGTTCTTGCTTATGAGGTTTGGTGATCAAATCCCAGTGATGTCTAAAGAGATATTTTATTTTGGTTGTCTGATCAAAAAAATTACCACTTTTACCCTGAAAATAATAATAGTAAATATAATCATAATAATAAAGACAGAGACAATAGGAATGAGGGGGCACGCATTAGATTCTGTTCCTTTTACTCTAATCGTCTTCAGCTTCGAAGGTTCCAGAGTAAGGAGAGCATGTGAGAGAGAGAGAACTTCGGACCATAGCCTCCATCTTCCTCGCCATTGCCGATGCTGGAATTGTTGCTGTGACTCATCTTCACGTGTTATCTTCAACCTTCTTCCTTTTTTGAAGCAGAGTACTAGTGCCAATTTTAGGTTCTCCTGGCTATGCGGTCGTGGGTGTTCAAATCTTCTTTTCCTTTCCCTCCATCATATCCGTCTACTGCTGCAAGAAGTTCCGACAATGTCACAGTCAGCCTTCTCTTTTGTTCTATGCTTGCTGAAAACTTGTGCTGTTATGGAGGTCACTCTTCTTCCCTCTCCCCTGTTCAGTGCGATCTTTAATCTCTCCTTCCCTTCTGTATGATTGGTTGATGATTTGAGGTATAGAAACTTCAAGCTTCTTCCCATTCGTGGTTCGAGGTATGTGTGTCTGTGTTTTATGAGTTAGGTAATGATTTTTCTTTTTTTTTTCTGCTGCTATGAGTCTTAGATAGGGATAATAAATTGATTCTAGCTAAAATTTTTAGTATTAAGAGCAGTATAATCATAGATAAATTGGAATTTTCTATCAATTAAGGCTGATTTTTATGTTAAAGAAATGAAATTTAGTAAACTAGACTTATTCAAATATAGACATTAGAGTTAATTGTCTGTTGAATGAATGGAATTAATGTGTGTGTGTGTGTGTGTGTGTGTGTGTTTAGTGTTAAAGGATTTTTAGGAAATAGCGATGGGATAGGAAGAAGCTTGGTCTAAGTGTCATGCAAAATAGAAGATGTTTAATATAATGTTTGAAAAAAAGAGAGGAGATTTTGGATTCAAGGTGGCAAAATATTTATGATAATTATCTCATCAATAATTAAACAATCATAGAAGGCAGTTGTCTTTGATAATGAAAGTTAAAGTAGGATTTAGAAGCTTTTGGGAGAAATATTTGAGTTGGTAACTTAAAAATCAAATCACTATTTATATCCATTCTTGAAATATCTTTGGGATGTTTGATAATATGTCTATTAGAAAGAGTTTTGTTTGATGATGAGTTTTCTTAAATTTCATTAACTCTTAACTTTTATAAAGATATGCTTGACTTGGGTGCTAATTATTCATGGATTTAACTTAAGTTTTGATGAAGAATTTTGATTATGAAACTATTATGAGTTTTACTTGAGTATTGCAAATAAATTGGATGATTATGGAGGTGATGTGTAACTAGTTGGACATTTGATGCAATGTTTGAGAAATATTGGTGTTAAGATTTATCTATTCCACTCCTTTAAACTAATTTGGATTGTAGATTTTGAGTTGTAATGTGTGACACGTATACATAATAGTATTAAAGGGATTGGTTAATCTAGAGTATAAGTTGGATTGATTTAGGACTCAGTGTCATTATTAGAAGGGAGTTTAATGAACTTAGGTAATGATCACTAAATTTGTATTATTATTATTGAATAGAGGATTTGAAGAAAGAAATCTCAATTAAAGTGGTAAGAAAGAGTTGATTGAAGTCTTAAGAAATGAATTCAAGTACTTGGGCACACTATAAGTAAGTGGATAGCGTTCTAATTGATTTTTTCAATCAACATTTCCTTTATTAAAATATCACATTTTTCTACAAATCATTTTAATAACAATAATACGATTATTAGATATCTGTTGATTAAAATTACTTTATTTTGAGAAATTAGCTTTACTAGATTTGAAACATTATTTGATCAATTAAAATAAGTTTGGACTTTGATTATGAGATTTTTATTCTGTCAAATATTAGATTGATACAAAAAATGATTCATGCGAGTTCAACTTTGAAAATAAAAATTTCATTCATTATTAATGATTTTCTCACATATTTGAAATTAGATTTGAAAGGGACTTATTACAGAACATTAGTTACTAGTGGTAGCTCCATTATCCCTTGGCGCTCCATGGTTAATGACTAGCTAGTTTGATATTCGCGAGCTCTATTTTCATGTTTGTTATTCGTGGGTTTAACACTTGCGTTTGATTTCATGGCTTTGAGTCGCGTTTGGTTAGCATTACCTTCATGGACTGTGTGTCCATGTTTGTTTTTATGGAATGAGTTGCGTTTAGTTACTTACCCTTATGGACTGTGTGTCCACGTTTGTCTTCATGGAATAAGCAGTGTTTAGTTATTTACCCTCATAGACTATGTGTCCACATTTATTAATTGTTTTGATAAGTCCTTTTAATTATAATTTGATTATTTGGTGATTTTATATTCCTTTGGTTTTATTTAGTAATTTATTTTTAAGTATTTATTTCATTTATATGCTTTTTTGAAATCAAGTGATAATAACATTTGCTATGATAGCTCAATGGTTTAAGATTTTATTAAAAATTTTATAGAGTCATTTTATTTTGAAGTTTATAAAACTTTTATGAAAATTATTGTCTCCTAAGCTTGCATAATTATTTCAAACTTTCCTTTTAATTCATATTGAATTATTTATTGTTGGGACGTCATTCATTAAAAAATTATTTTTGGCCTTAGATACCTTAGCTGGCGCTGATCCTCCTGCCGAACCCTAATGTAATGACCCTAAAAAATTAAAAATAATAAAATAAAAATAAAATATTTGCCCAATTTATAGTTTACTTAAATTAGTTTTATAATAAAAGATAAGTGGTGACTTAGTGAAACTTATGTTAATAATTTATTTAAAGGCTTAAAGTTTGAATTCTTTTGAGTAATAGGTTAAATTTTATTTAGTTTAAGATTTAGAAGAACATTACCAAAGCACCCATGACTTTTATGTTATTAGAGGAAAGTGCTGTGCCGCTTTTGTAATTTTTGTGATTTCCTAATGATTCAAGCTTTTACTCTCTCCTCTCTCGGTCAAACCACGCGAGAAAAAAAATTTCCTCTATTCTTTGAAAACTCTGGAACCAGCGAGCATGAGAGGGAGATTCAGATAGCAACTCCTTCGATCTTCCCTCTTCTTCTTCCTCCTTCATTGAGACTGAGGCCAGCAACCTAGCCGTCAACGAGAGCAAGAGCTCTGCTCGTCGCTGCTGTAACGTCCATTGGAAACCCTTGCATTGAGGAGCAGATCGTAAGACCAAGGTTCCCCTGTTTAGCATCCAAGCTCCTCCTTTTTCCCTTTTCTTCTTTTCGTCAATCATCGTGAGGCTTCCTTCCCTGTCATCAGTTCACCGTCGACAGGTGTGTGAATTCCAGCCATCATCATCAAGTCTTCATCTTCTCTGTTCGAACATCGGGTTCCTCTTTCCTCTTCGAGCAGCAGCAATAATCCGGTGCGTAACCTTTTTGCTGTGGATGTTGGGTGCATCAGACTTTTACCTCGCTTGTTTCAATGTCGACTGCCTCTCTTCTCCTTCCTCATATTCACATGGTGACACTTTCTTCTCTATATGGTTCTGTATCGCCGCTGTGTTTGTCACTAGTGCGCCTTGGCTGGAGTTCACTGCTATTGCAGCATTTTTGATAGTAAATACAGCTCCTCTGTTCTTCAATTTCTCCTTCCTTCTTCATTTTCACATGGCCATATCCCCTTCCTTTCTTATCTTGCAGTCGCCAATTTGGTGTGAGGAAGCTACAAGTTGTGCCTTTCGTTCCTCAATTATTTTGGTGAGTTGAGATTCCACTTCCTTTCCCCTGTTAGCTGTGCGTAAATGCTGATTGGAGTGATGGCTGATTTGGGCTTTTAATTTCCTCCTTGATTGGCACTATTTTGCGGGTAGAACATAATTTGGAGACATTCAAGTTAACTAAATTGAAGTTTTGTAACTTGTAAGTATGTGTTTATGCTGTGAAAGATTTAGGTTTGTTAAAAAAAAACAAACAAATAAAGAAAGAAGAAAGGAAAAGAAAGGAAAAGAAGATTTAATTGTTCTTTTGAGAAGCATAGTCATTTCAAGATGGATATTGGAAAACTTTGGAAAATGGAATTGAAAGGGGAGAAATTTAGTAATAATTTAAAAATTAATGCCTATAAGGTGTTTGATAAAAAATTTTTTAGGGGGAGTTTTATTGGTTTATGTGAATTGTGAGATTTCATTAATTATTGTGAGAAGCATAAATGGCTTGGATAATATTTATTTTTGTGTTGGTTTGAGTATCATAAGGAACTTTTGATTATGGAATTTACGTATAATTAATTGATATTCTTGAGAGTTGTATGGCTCATAATTATAAACTATAGTGTTGTTTTGTGACTTATTTTTGGTGTGCACTTAAGGTATTTGATAAAATGGTAGTTTGGATTGATCGAGTAACAAAATTTGGGTAATTTTAAATTTATTATAGATATATATTTGTTGCGGTAATGTTAGAAGGAAGTTTATTGAAATTATAAGAAGTCTTATAAAATCCTATTATATATATTATAAGGAGATTGGAAGAGAAGAGAACTTGGTATTATGGTTTAAAAAAAATAAAAATAGTGCTTGCAAGGTGTTTGAGAAAATGTTTGTTAGAAGGATCTAACATATTATGGCATGATACTTGTGATGGTTGGATTGTTGTTAGTCAACATATTAAAGAAAACACTTTATAATGCAAGTTGAGGCAAACATTAGATATTTGAGGAATAAATATTTTGATTGGTAATTTGTGAGTTAGGTTGTTATTGATATGTTAGTCTTTGGAATTTTTAAGGAATAATTGATGCAATGTTAGGAAATTGTTGGGAAAAAAAATTATCTATTCTTATCCTTGAATAAATTTAGATTGTAAATTTTGGATTGTCAGTATATCAAATTGTTTATTGTATTATTTAGACAATAGGAATTTAAGTGCCTCAAGTTGTTGCAAAAGGGGCTAATTTGTAACTAAGTTATGTTTGGAAATCTATCAAATAAGTGGATAGCGTCCCAACTAATTTATAATCAATTTTTTTTTTCAAAAATATTTTTACTTAGATCATTTAATATGTCATGCTTTGTTAATTAAATTATTTTTATCTTGGGAAATTATAAAGGGATGTGGGAGGATATTTGAATTATGACGTGTATGTGTTTCTCCTTACAAAGGATACTTTCAAGATTGATGGAATTATTTTTATTAGCTTTGATAATTTTGGTTTCTCAATAAATGCAAACATAGGCATCATTTATGAAGTTTTATTCTAGCAAGTTTCTAGTTTTTAAAATTCTTCATGCGAGTTTGATTATGAGAATAGAACTGTATTTTAATAATGATGAATTTCTTGCATTTTGAAAATAGATTTGGAGGGGATTTTATACAGAACACTGGTTGCTAACGACAGTTCTGTTAGCCCTTGGCGCGCCATGGTACACCTAGCTAGCAGAGTGTTTATAGGAGGTGCTAGCCCCGTGCGATGGCCAACGCACGTGGAACAGAGGGATCGTTATTTGTGAGTATCGTACTCACGTTTGTTTCGTGGCTTCAAACTGCGTTTGGTTAGCATTACCTTCGTAAATTATGTGTCCACGTTTGTCTTTGTGGCAAGAGCCGTATTTGGTTATTTACCCTAGTAGACTTTGTGTCCACGTTTGTTAATTGTTCTGATAAGTCCCTATAATATGAATTTGATTATTTGATGATTTTACATTCCATTGGTTTTTAATTAGTGAATTATTTATAATTATTTATTTTATTTATTTTATTTATTTAATTTTTTTGCAATCAAGTGATAGTAATATTTGATATGATATTTTAATAGTTCAAGATTTTATTCAAACTTTATAAAATTATTTTATTTTTAAAGTTTATTAAATTTTTATAAAAATTGTTGTCTCTTTGAATTGCATAATTGTTTTAAACTTTTTTTTATTCATGTTCAATTATTTATTGTTGGGATCTTATTCACTGAAAAAGATATTTTGGTCTCAGATGGTATAATTGAACTCGTGACTCGAGATATTTACTGAGGAGTTTTATTGCTGAATTGAAGCAGAAGAATTATTTTAGTCAAATAATAATATGAAAAATTTAAAATTTATACCTACGTTGGCATCTGGCCTTAGGTGCTTCATGTAGACTACAAATAGGATCCTCACATTTTTTTAAAATTGAATATTTGATTTAATATTATAACAATTTCTAATTACTCTATTAGTGTGTTTAACGTATTAATTTTAGTTTCTCCGATCACGGCTTAAGGGGTATGAGTTTTGTGCACATATCTCATGCCGATCATACCTAGTTTTTGGGGTGTGACACCTAAGGACTTTTAGACATGCTTAGGTGCAAAATTTGTTGAGATCCCTTCTTTTGATGTAATTACAAACACTTATGTATTTTATTTTGAAAAGTATGATCAGCTGATCCACGTAGCCTATAGCTAGATTTTTATTTTAATATATATATTATCTGTTGGCTGGAAGGAGTTGAGCTCTTGATTGACACTATATTTTATGTACAATATTATATTGTAAAATTTTTAAGAGATCTTATATATAGGGAAGGTTTTGTAGCAATTTCTACAAAAATATTAAAATTCTTATTATAATAATTTTTATTAATTATGTTATAATTTTTAGTGCAAATTCAACTATATTTTAAAATGAAAAGATTTCTCAATTTAGGGCTTAAGAGATATGTGAAATGGTTCACATCCCATGTTAGTTACCCTCTGTTTTCAGGATATGATAGACCACGTCCACAAGAGGAACATTTGTGTCTCTAATTGCCTCTGAAACCTTAATTACCATGCCATGAATGCATATTTGAATTAGAACATACATCACCCTATGTAATGTTAAAGAGGGTCAAATATGTAGTTAGATTAGAAAATGCATTTAACTGTTTAAAATGACTTTCAAAGGCTAATAAGCAAGCTTGAACATCAATCCAAGTAGGTTAGGCATATCAATAAGTTTTACAACTATTACATTATGTATAGTTAGCAACCAGGCCATTTAAGGCCTGAGAAATAAGATCATCAGTCATAATCGGAGTACTAGCTATAGCTAACTGGTTAGATGGAGTCTTGATTTTGGCTAAATATTCCTTTATATAATCCAGCTTTAAACACCATAACACAAGCCTTTGTTAAAGCTAAGTGAGAGCTTTGGCACCATCCTAGAGTTCTTATGCCGTGTGATAATGGAGAAGCTATGCGCCAATATTCATACTCATGGCATTTTGAAGCCACCTAACAAGCATCTTATCAACTACATTCATATCTTCAAGAGTTTGATCAAGTAAAACAGCAATATCTCCTGTAGCAGGGGATGGCAAATGATCAACACTATTCACATGTAACTCTAGCTTGTTTCCTTCAATCAATGGAAGGATAATGGATTCCTAAAAGAGATAATTTCCTTATTCTAGCTTGATCAAGGTAAGTTGGCTACTCAACAATGGATTATTTGTAGACACAGTTGTAATACCCTAAAATATAAGAGTGACCCGTACGGGATATGTGCACAAACACATCTCCTTGAAGCCTTAATTAAGGAAAGTTTTGAATTGATATGTCTAACACACTATCAGCATGATTATATGTACCTAATTTTACTTTTCACCTAAATCAAAATTTCGCATAAATTTTCGGCAGCATTTTCCCTATAAATAAGATCTCTTCAAATCTCTACGACATAAATTTTATAGCATACATTCAGTAATACGGAGCTCTGTTCTTTAGCAATAGATAAACTACATAACATGAAAGGGAATATTCACAACATGAATCTCCACTTGACTCAGTAAAAAAAATCTCTCAGGGTTCAACAAGGCATACAATGTCAGCTACACTATCTGGGACCAAACCAAATACTTTCTAGTGAATAACGTCCCAACCATAAAATTTGCAAAATTAAAATGAATAATTTACAATAATTATAAAAATTAAAGAGAAAACAATTAGATACAATAAAATTAATAAATTTGGAATAAAAATTTCTATACAACTTCAATATTATAAGCCTTTAAATCTTTAATAATGAAACAACTCTAACATTTAATCTTAATGAGTTAAATAGATTAACTAATTAAATTAAATAAATAAAAATAAAAACATTCACTAATTAAAAACCATTAGAATATAAAATCATCAATTAATCAAAAATTCATATTTTCTGAGAATTTATCAGATCAATTCACAAACATAGACACACAGTTCATGAGGGTAAATAATCAAACGTGGCTCATGCCATGAAAACAAATGTGGACACATAGTCTATAAGGGTAAGTAATCAAACATAGCCTGAGCCATGAGAACAAACGTGTACACACAATCCACGATGGTAATACTAACCAAACACGAAAAATGCCACGAAAACAAACGTAGATATTAAACCCACGAATAACAAATGTAAGAACAGAGTTCATGAAGATTAAACTAGCTATTTATTGACTATGGCGTGTCAAGGGCCAATAGGACTACCATTAGCAACTGGTATTCTGTATAAAATCCCTTCCAAATTCATTTTCAAACATGCAAGAAAATTATTATTTTTAAAATATAATCTTGATTCTTGAAATCAAACTCACATGAATAGTTTTTAGGCATCAAAACTTGCCAATGCTCATGTTTGCATTTATTAAATAATCAAAAATTACCAACACTAGTGAAAATGATTTTTATCAATCTTAAAGTATATCTCATAAGGGGTAAAACATTCATATGCCATGATGTAAATATTCTTCACCACCATCTTGTAACTTAAAAATGAAGAAATTTAATTAATGAAGTATCCATTAATCAACATAATTATTACTAAAATAATTTGCAAAAAAATATAAAATTTTAGGAAAAAATAATTAATAAATTTAATTGAGATGCTATCCACTTATCTGATAAGCTCCCAAAATAATAATATGTTCTTTCTAAACACCTCTCCATTTTCCTTTAGCTACTCTATTACCTAAACTAGAGGAACAAACAACTTTCTTTATTAAAAGCTCTAATTCATACATCTCTAACAGACATTCATGGACTCAATATATAATCCAAAACATATTAAAGTCCTCTCAATTCTTATTTGTCCTTAACCCACCAATCATATTTAAAAAAAAATTCTTCTTACTCCTTTCTCCCACCTACAATGATATATTTATCTCAATCATACCTCCTTCCCTTAGTAATCAATGAGTGATTATTATTAAGGCTCTTCAATAATTCATCATAAAGTACACTTTATTCAAAACAACACAACTTCTTATCCTACACACTCACAATTGATGATATAACACCCTTAATTCAATATCATAAATGTCATCAAGTATAACAAAATTCTCTCCTATTCCCATGTGCTTCAAGACCCAAACTAATTGTCATCCCCTGAAAATAGAGAATAACTAGCATGGGTGCAAATTACATCACATATTTCCATAAGCCTTAAAATGAAAATTCCTTTTGTTTTTCAAAAAAAATCAGATTATATAAAAATTCTAACACTTTTAATATTAATTGTCATAATAAGACTTTAATGTTTTTGTAAAAATTTCGACAAAATCTCTCCTATGAATATAATCTCCTGAAAATTCTACAACAAAATTTGCCTAGAAAACAGTATCAATCAAGAGCTTAGCTCCTTTCAATCAGCAATAGTATATAAATCAAAATAAAATCCTAACAAAAATCTATGTGGAGCAACTAATCTTTCTTTTAAATCAAAATTACATATGACTTAAAGATTTATATCAAAGAGTAACCATACTGAACAAAATTTCTACCCAATGTAGCTATATTGCCTTTCAGAGATCGATGGTGGGATCGACGTCAGCTAACAAATCTGATACCAAAAATAAATTTGTTCAGTGAATAGCATTCTCAAAGTAGAATTTAAAAGAATGAAGATAATAACTCAAATAATAGTGTCAACTAATTGAAAAGATGATAATCCATCATAATAAACTTATAAAGTTGTACATCGTAATCATAACCGTAAAATGAGAGTAAATCGAAAGTAATTTATTTTATCATGCTTAAAGAAAAATAATTTATTCACATATAAACCAAAGTGACATACTTGCTAACCGAAATCATTAAAATTTTGAAAACACATTAATCAAAATTAGAATTTGTGAGAACTCAACAGAATAGATAACAAACATGAACACACAGTCCACGAGAATAAATAACTAAACGCGGCTTATGCCATGAAAATAAACGTGGACAGACAGTCCACAAGGGTAAGTAACTAAATGCAACCAAAGCCACAAAGCATGTAGACACACAGCCTATAAGGGTAATACTAACCAAATGTGGCTCAAGGCTATGAAATCAAATGTGAGTACAAAGCCCACAAATAACAAATGTAAGAACAAGCTCACAAGGCAACTAACTAGTTTTTAACCACAGCATGCTACGAGCTAATGAAACTGCCGTTAGTAGCAATGTTCTGTTTAGAGCTTTCTTAAAAACCATGTTTCAAACATGCGAGAAGAATAATTACTTTTGAAATACAATTTACATTTTCAATACCAAACTCACATGAATCATTTTGAATTTTAATTTAGTACTTGTTAAAAATAATATTTCATAAATAATGTACAAGCTTGTGTTAATTGAATAACCAAGAATTTTTTACAGATTAATAAACAAACAATTCCA